AAAAAAAAAAAAAAAAAACAGTAAGATACAATCGAGAACTTAACTAGACACAATCAAATACTTGTTTTGTACCTTCGTTTACAAAATGCGTCAGAATTCTGTTGAGGAACGTTATCTTGAACAAAGAGATGTATTTCCCCTTTAAAAAAAAAGCGACGACGATTAGCCGGCGCTTTTGAAAAACTAAAGAAATCCATTATGGTGAGAGATTCTGAAAACCTCCGTCTAATGGGCTCAAAAATAGAGTTGAATTGTGGACAGGGTCTGAGTTTTGGGTTACCATCTCGCTCTGTGAAGAGAACATTAAGAATCACGTAGTGGAACACATATTTCCGGGCTCCATAACGCGATAGAGCACGGGGGATGTTGGGAGAACACGAGGAAGGCTTATACATTACGAGCCAAAGGCGAGTGGTTTATAAGCTAGAGCCCGGTAAAATGAGCTCTGTTGATTTTATGGCATAAATATGACAAATGCGGGTTCTAGAACCTGATAAGTAACCGCTTGGAGACTGAATTGACAAATCAGACGATGTCTGCTTTGTTCATTTATGTTATAATTTCCAATAGAGCGATACGAATTACAAATAAGGCCTCTCTCACCTTCCGTACACAAACCGTCTGTTAAGTCTGACGCCGTTAAATCCGCCATGACGTGGAATCACCTTCAGGAGGGGGAAAATATTTCAAGATTGATTATGGATAAATATTGAGGGCGAACACAGTAGAATAACAACTAACGCGACATCAGAACGACTAAGAACGATGATAAAATAATTGCTTCCTTCCCCCGCCACTGCAGCGAAATTGTTTCGTTTGAAGGTAAGATCATATTTACCTACCTCTCTTTGCTTTAATCTCGTTGTCATGTTCGATGGCGCGTAATATCTGTATTTTGGTTCAGGGCATTTGTGAGGTCTAACGATAGACAAATCGGAATTAGTTCATCGACAACAGTTTGGACCAATAGTATCACACTGATTGGTTCAAAGTTATTGAACTTGTACATCTGGGATTGGGGCGTTTGATCCAACAACCAGTCTGATTTCAGTATTCATGTACAAAATACACTGGATTTTTATAATTGACCGAGAAGAGATCGGTGTTGCTAAAATTACCACATTTCCAACCCTTTTCTTGGTGGTGCAAGAAAATTAAGAAAAAAAAAATAAGCGTACGCTCGGAGAAACAGTCGAAAAACACACAACAGAGTTTGAGTGAGAAAAGAAAAGCAAAACAAAAAGATGGTCTATTTGTCTTGAGTAGGCCTTGAATACCTTGTAGGCAAGCAAAATTTCTTGCTTGCTTGCCGGCCTACTGGGAAGAGCNAAGCTAGAGTCGCTCTCGGCTATCGCCTCGAGCGACTCTTACGCTTCTTTCGTGCTTAGCAACCTCCCGCGTGCATCCATAACTCAATAGCGTACGCTGTGGTGTTTACCATTTGTTAATTATGTTTCCCTCGTAAATCAAGGGACCCTAAGATCACAGAATACACCTCACAACGAAAACATGGACCACATACCTTCCTATTAGTTGGTGTAGAGAGGAGATTTGATTCTGGTTTTGGGCCGGGTAGATTAGCTTCTCTCCGTAAAACCTCTGCAGTCTCATGAAGTCCTGGTCAAAAATAACCACATATTTGATTAGAAAATAAGCCCAACATCCTCAAGATTGGGGCAATTCTACTCCAGGTGTCAGAAGAAATTCCGGAATGCTTCGGTTTTGATTAACTTCCCTGTGATTGCTTCAGAAAACTCGCGCCACCTTATCAACCAATCAGATTTCTGACTAAAAACCAATGGCAATTTTGTTAGCCGCGTTTTCCCGCGCTTCAGACTGTTGCTTGTTTTTACTTTGAATTCTCATTTGCTCCCAGTGATATTTTCCTTCAATCTGATTGGCTGTTGTGATTGCTTTGGTTTCGTTTTACGACACTCAATCGAAATAAGAAGCAAACACTTTGGGCCAGTTATTTATGCGAGGTCTAACCCAAACCGCGATGTTACGCAAGCCGTGGGCCGTAGGCTTTTTTTATAAGAGGTTTGTTTTCACTAAATAAATGTCCTTCCACTGCAAGCTTTCGGCCGCTCTTCACCGGGTTGACAAAAATAAATGTTGAGATAAAAGATTTCAGCTAAATTCCAGACAGTTTAGAATGTGGTTTTGTTAAACAACAGCTAAACTTTGTTTAATTAACCGGCCCTTAGTTTACAAGCCGGATCTAGTATTCAGGCTTTACCACAAAGATAGTTTCAGATGACAAGGGACTTTCGTGTCCAAATTTCAATGGTGTGTTATGAAGCGGGGAGTGATCTAAAAATTTATTAAATGGGAAATTTTTCTGTAAGGGATTCCGTCTCTTGACCTGGTTTTCTCTTAACGCTCCACGATCTTCCATAACAAACCTTGGGTTGTAAGGTGACTGTGAACCAGTTGTAACAGCTCTTTTGCCGGATATGAAATGTGAGTCTGCGCAACAACATCAGCCTGCGAACATAAAAGCAGATATTTACTTATTGTGCTGTAAAATGGGTTTTCAAAGAGTCCTTCTTAAGTGAACTTCGAAATAAATAATAAAACTGACCTCATGGAAGCCGTCGAGTAAGAATAAAAAAAATACATAATTCCAATTCGAAAGTTTTTCAATTCACATATGATTTTTTGTTGTTATGTTTATATTATGCTTAAGAACTCGGTTCTTTATTGGAAAGTATTTGCATGAGATCCGATAGTGATGCCATCTTACCTATAAGGAGGGGATGCCAGGATAGGGGACTCCCCTTTCATACCCCAGGGGTTTCATTAATGTTTTCAATTTGCCCGGTGCCTGGCCCTTAATGAAACCCCTGATACCCCCATCCAAAAAACAGAGAGAGCCTGAAGACTAGTTCGATGCCCATCCATTTTTAAACAAGAGCAACAGAGTGGTAGACTCTGACAAACTCTAATTATTTCACACAAAACTTACATCATTGAAATTAGACTTTTCCGTGCGTTTGCCGTTCAAACGAAAGTTAATAGGGAGTTTAAGAAAGGACGATGGCGACGCCGTGTACAACGTCGCTTAAAAAATAAACTTATATTTTACTTACGAGTCCCGTGATACTCTACAGTAATTTAGTTTCTTTCTCACGGTCAAAACTATCTCGAAACTGAAATTGGAACACAGCCTTAAATAAGAAAAAGAAATTTAAAAATCAGTGATCGACGTTCACGTTCTCTAGACAACGCGAAATTTGGTCATTTCTTGTTGCTGTTTTGCAGGGAGTGCCAAGAAATCTACAAAGATTTATAACGCACATGCACAGCCATTGTTCTGCTGATTAAACATTTTGTTTTGTGACGTTCCCGTTGCCGTTGCCGTCGTAGTTTTCTTAAACTCCCTAATAAACGAGCGAAGACGCTGTTAAAGCACCCCTTCCCCTCTCCACTCTGTGAGTAGACAGCTTGTGTTAATTAACAAATGGTAAGAGTCTTCTTAAGCTAGAGTCGCTCTCGGCTATCGCCTCGAGCGACTCTTACGCTTCTTTCGTGCTTAGCAACCTCCCGCGTGCATCCATAACTCAATAGCGTACGCTGTGGTGTTTACCATTTGTTAATTNGGTGTGACTCTTTCCAGCAGCTCGGCAGCATATTTGCAGAAAAGGGCGTGGTCAGAAGCATTATCCTCAATAACCGGCTCTCGCATCAAAACTGAAAACAAAAAAAGACAAACAACGGAGTTAATAAAATAAGTGAAATAAAATTATTATTCAGAAGGTCAAAAGGTCTTTAATCTTGCGAGGGTTCCCAGGATCAAAGCGTACAATACAAAGCGGGTAATAGCTCGAGTAGCCAACCAGAACACAGAATCCAATTCAACTTGCCCGCAGGCACTCCCAGCTATAAAACTTATTTGCGCTGTTGAACAAGAGTGAAAAATGCACTAAGCTGTGCAATACTCACTTTGTAACTGGCCCCTGTTAAAAAGCTGTAGTTTTCCTATCACCTGTCTAATCTTGTCACTTCTCGACAGTCCACATAACGCTTTACAAGCCAAAGCACGAATGCAATCTGCATCAACCAAGGGCGTTTTCACCATCAGTAAGGAGAGCAGAACCTTGATGCCATTACTGGCCCTGACGCAGCCCCACATCTTGGATAAGACGTCGTCGCTGCTTTTGAATGCCGGCCTGGATTTCGACTGGAATTTTGCAACAGCTCCGCTTATCTACAACAAAAGAAGATGGGCGTGATGTTCGCAGCAATGAACACCACTTGAGCTGCAGTTTTAGGAATAGTCTCGAGGTAAGCAAACATTTTGTGTTGATTCCGAAGGTCTCTTAACAAAATTCAAATAGTAGTGTTCAATTACCTCAACTTTTACTACATTTCATCATTCAAGAAAGACTCAATTTTTAGCGACTTCGTCATTACCAGGTCACTCGCAATATGACGAATTTTCCCACGCTCTACACAACATATAACGCGCGTATCCCTGTTTGTTTTTGTCGCGATAAAACTGAGGAACTCATAGGGGAGATACGGAACTTAATCAAAATGCGCTGATACGTACCCTGACTCGAGGTCCACACACACAGTTACAAATGACGTGCAAAGCGGCTTTCTGCACCTCAGAGTCGTTGAGTAAACTTCCTTCAGCACAACGCAGCAGAAGCCTAGAAAAAAAAGATTGTTCAAGATAACTTGATAGAACGTATAAAAAGCTTCTGGCCTCTTGCTATCAAAAGTTTCTCACGGCTCATGAAAAGTTATCGACTAACAACATTTTTTTACTCCCCTCTCAGATCCTAGTCCATTGCAGGCATGATAATGATTAATTTTTCGTGGGAATTTCTCGAGTCTTAGTTTACGTCAAAATGAATTCTCTTCCATAAATCTTAATCATACCTTATTCCCTTTTGTTGTTCTCGTGAAGGAAGTTGCACTTCTTCACACAGCGCCATCTGAGCCTTAGGACCGACTGTCAACACAAACAGCATCTCTAACACAAGGCGGGTTACATCGGCTGCTAATCGGATAGCGTCCGCTCTTGAATGAGAGGAAAGGAACACGAAAGGAGAGGATTAACAAGTTGGTTCTACCTTATTAATGTATAAAAATGTTAGTCGAGATATTCAAAATTCAAGCAAAGAGCAAAACATGGCAGTAATAACAATTAATTTCCATTTAATGTAAAACGATTACCAAAACGCTGGTCTGGCCTTAAAATGGCAGTTAAAAACGCAGTGAGAAAATCTGTCGTATCCTTGGTCAATAATGCTAAAAGGTTACCTGCGTCTTTTCATAGACAGTTGAGAATCGCTACGACTCATGATCTGATACGATTTTGATTTTTTTAATTATCAAAAACATCAGTTCCTTTTATTGAAAAGATTTCCGAGAATTTCTATGTCCAATATTACAGACATATCCAGATTTTCCCGGACTCGCACAAACTCTGGAGTATGGTAACAAAAACCAATGACGTACCTATTACTTGTCATTCCCCAGTCTGACGACAAGGAGATTAACTGAAGCAGCAGTGTGAAACCTTGAAGTCTGTTCATCATCTTAAGGAAGTAAAGAAAACATTGTCAACAATTGGTAACTTATAATTTGTCAGGAATTAATTGTCAGGAATTATAATTGGTAACTTATAATTTGTTGGCAACGCCAACGCCAAGAAAGACGTCGATTACAAAATTAATTTATATTTTTTGTTAGAATTTCGCGAATGATTGCACGTGTTTACCGTCTCTTACTATACCACATCACAAGTTCAGCATAACGTATGTGAGCAGCGTTGAGTTCCAAATGGAAACTTCAATAATTTGTCGTCGGGGTTTCTGTTCTTGGACCAAGCAAAGTTTTGTGATTTCCCGTTGTTGTTTTGCAGAAGGCAGCTGAGGATTTGCACAACGTTTTAGAACACACGTGCTGAGCAACTAGCTCTTTTGTTTTGCCACGTTCTCGGCCTCGTGGTTTGCTACAGTTTCCTAATAAAATACGAAAACCGGGGCATTCTGACACTCTACGTAGCCGAGAGACTATGGAAGCTAGTTATGGATAACTTAGAAAAATGCGCCGATTAGAATTCCAGCCGGTTGGATAGCAAAGATTTTCATATTCGACAATTTCGTGGACTATCCAAGCAAAACGTCTACAGAAAGGGTGTAATGGCTAATGAACCAGCCTTGAGCCAACAGTGTGATTGTGAAAATGAATCNAACTGTTTTAGCATATACTAAATTACTAGGTTTGACATTCGCTATCCTTCTATTTCTTTATACATCGCAAAATATTTGGAATTAATGTTATTAAGACACATTTCTGAAACAACCAGACAGGAAAGGTCACTGAAAAAAAAAAAAAGAGACCATATGGTGTGATCCCACAAGTTTGACCTAATTATGTTGACATCACTACAAACGATGACGAAGTTTCAGCTTGCCATCAAAAGGGAATGACACGCGCGCAAGAGGGAAACACTCGAAAGAAGACACTCCTCGTCCGTAACATCTCGCTCACGCAGGTCGATTTTAAGTGGTGCACTTGCACCCAGTCCTTGCGCAAGTCATGAAAACGTCCAACAGAATCCATCAACCGTCATTTTGCCTTCATCCAAGCGATTAAACCACACGATCCACTGTTTCTCTGGGGTCCAAACTGTCTTATGTAATTAATAAATGCAAATGACTAATTACCTGGTTCACAAGCTTCCGCAGACCATCATTGCTGTCGAACAATTCCAGCACTGCTCGAAAGGAACAAGTGAGTGAGAAAAAGAGAGTTGCGTGACATCTGCCCGAGTCGTGAGAACATTCTAGAAGCCACAATGCATATCTGACCATGTCACTCAACACAGGGTTCGGCAAGAGGGACACCTGAAACAAGTTACACAAAAACAGTTAAGGAAGCTCCGCAGACCCATTCCGTTTGTTAATTTCGTGAATCTCTAACCCGCGCAGAAAAAAAAAAAAACCGACCAGAATTTGATCATTCGAAGTTTTTTTGTGGAATTAATAAGAGTTTTGTAAGCTTACACTTTTTTTGTGATCATCTTTATGTTTCTTAGGGTTAGTCTCTCTTCTTATATACGAATCTGTTCATCCATTAACGGTTTTTTTTAATCACGCTTTTTTTTTTTTTACGTGATTCATGTGGTAATTAGTGCTGTAATGTTTTAGCTAACTTTGGGTCATGATGGCGAACAGTCGAAAACGTTTGGTTTAAACATTTTAATAATTTTTTTCCTAATCTTTTGGCCTTGTATATAGAATATCCTTTGGGTCATACGTTTAGCAAATATTAATAAACGAATAAATAAGTTTTTTTTTGAAAGATTGATCAGGGTTTTAGCCAGATTTCAGGACAAGACGAGGGAAGTTTCGAGCCGCTAGAGGGGTCTGGGGGCATGCCCCCCAGAAAACTTTGAAATCTAGAGGTTTAGGAATGCTCTTTTAAGGATTTTCCGTGGCATTTTTCTTCAGAAAAGTCAATCTTT